TTCTTGTCTCTGTCTTCCTCCAGCTGTGTCCCCAAGAGCTCAGTGTCTAATGTCCGGGCACAAAGTAAATACCAAATAAATACCTGTGGAACTGAACCATCCTTTCTCTAATGGTAGCTGAAGTATACACTCTTCAGCTTGGCTACAGAATGACCTCCCTTTGAGGACTCACTCTGAGGTGCCAAGACAATAATGATCAGTATTTCAAAATATGGAGGACAGTGTGGTTATCTAGTTGGAGAGACTCTGAAGTAAATTTCATTTCTGGAAGTGGTGGAATAAAAATGTTTTACACAACACAAGAGCTTCCTGAGCTATTGTGACAGTGGCACTTCTTGTATTTGGTCTATTTATTGTAAGTAGCAAAGAATGAAATTCACCCCAACTTTGGTTTCTATGAGAACATTTGAATGTTTAAGGACTAATAAATACTGAATTAAACACAGAGAATTAAAGTAGTCTAGACTTTAGTAGAAGTGTTCTTACTTGCATATGGTGAAAAATCATCCAATTAAAAAAAGAGGCAAAAATCTTAGGGTCATTAACGTCCTTGGAAATATATCTTGTAAGAGGTTGTTTATGTATAAAGGTATAATTATGTTATGATGTATGTTTGGAGTGTTTGGAGTGCAATGTTTACAACAGAATAGACTGTTGTAAACGCGAAGAATTAGTGATGAGAAGTTGGTCAGTGGGAATACTAATAGTATAGAGAGGTAAGAGCTATAGTTTTGTAAGCACGTTATCAAACTATAATTTTCTGTCCATATGTCTGTCTCTCCCACTACTCTGTCTGAGGGTGGGGACTATGACTTGCTCATGCTGTATCCCCAAAGCCTGCAAAGAACAGGTGCTCAAAAGCGATTGCAGAATGAACGAGTGAAGGTTTAAATGCCTATTTTTGTAATTGCAATAGCAAAGGTTAAAGGATTTGTATCAAACTGTTATTGGTAGAGTTCTCTAGTGACTTCATGTCCATATAGTCTGAACTGTACACACATATAACATATATGCACACATATATACAGACCTATATGCATTTACATATAAAATATATAAGTTTGAAAAGAATCTGCAAGTATTAAGCAAGCAACTCCAGGTCCTGCCACAGACTCTATGTGGTCACTGGTGACCCTGGTGGCTGCCCAGAATCTTACCTTGAGGAAGGTCAGACAGTCCTGGTTGTCACTCTTGCCCTTATCTCGTAGGTCGAAGTTGTAAAGGGCCCGGCAGAGTGGGGGCGGCTGGGGCAGCTGCTTGATGACTTCCACGGAGCTGGTGGGGAAGAAGCCGCTGACGCCATTGAGCTCGCCCTGGTACCAGTTCTCATCCAGCTGTCTCCGCAGGAGGATGACGTCTCCTTTATTAAACCTCAGGTCCCCGGGATTCTGCCCTCGGTAGTTGCATAAGGCCTTTGCTCGAGGCACCTGCAGTGGGACCGACCAATAGAGTATGTGCTTAGCTTAGAGACGGGAAGGACAGACGGTAGCATATTAATAATTAACTACTGGGCACGTCCTATGCACCAAGTGCTGTGCGTGGGTCATCCTGTGGATCTGTAAACATCGCATGCAATGTTTACAGCAAAACAGATTGTTGTCAGTGAGTAGAACGAGGTGATGAATTGTATGTAGAATTATATCGTAGAATTACATGGTCTGTGGATCGTATCTTTGAGACGGACATCTAATTATCCCCAGTTCTAAGTAGGGTGACAGGCACAGAGTCACCTTAGTAACTTGCCTCAGGTGACACAGTTGGGAAATGGCAGCTATGGGATCTGAGCTCAGGTCGCCTGATTTTAGAGCTCCTGTTCTTAATCACTATGCAGGGAACAGGGTTTTGGACTTGACTCCATCACTATGAGAACTTGAGGGAGTCAGTGACGCTTTCTGGGTCCTGAACACTGATTTTGAGTTCTGGCTCTACCTCTTTTCCCTTTTGTGACCACGTGTCTGTTTCTCTGACAACTGGGTCAAGGTATTTAGTCTTTCTTATATTGTATTCACTTATAAAGTGGGGTAATAATAGAATGCCCATCTCATTAGGGTAGTTGTGAGGAATAAACACTCATAATATTTTTAGGATATTGCTTGGTACATAGTATGTGCTCAATAAATGACATTTCTTATTAGCATCATCTATAATGGAGGGCTAAGGATATCAGTTCTACCTATTGCTCGGTATCGACAGGAAGAAAACTGAGGTAAAAACTCCCTGAAAACAGAAAGTGTTATATCAGAATGATACAACATAATTGGTCTTCAGCCTCATGAATGTTTGAACCGTCAGGAAGAACAACTGAGACAAAGAAACAGTCAGAAATCAATCATCGATTTTAAAAAATCAGCTAAAGAATAGTCATATACATTGTCTGTCCAAATAGTTATTTCATTCAATGCATTTTTTTTTTCTTTCTAATTGAAGCTGGTTTCTCCACACAGAAACGGTCTCACTCTGGTCTTGCTTGAAGTAAGTTTGGCCAACAGAAACTTCTGAAAATGCAGGTTTAATAGCAAGCCTGTCACTGTCATGGGGATTGTGTTTTATTTTGTGCTTTTCTCAGCACTGGGGTGAAATAGTCCCCTCTCCTGGGGGCAGTCTTGCTATTCGTAACGGGGTCTAAGACGGCATTAATCCAGTTCTTCAAGAAACTTCCGAGCCTGCAATTCCTTTGAAAAGGAATTTTAAGCAGCTTAGGGGTAGAGACAAGACCTAAACAGTACTACATTGATGATGAGATGGTGGAGCAATGCTTTTGTGCTGGTCCCTGGATACAGTAAGGAGAGCCCAGGGAGTTAGAAAACCACAGGAACACAGTTCATCCTCAGGGCGCTGGTGGACAGGTGAGCAAAGGTGTGGCAGGAGGTTTAGCACAGTGTGGCGGGTAAACAGAATAAATTATGATACACCCATACAATAGAATATCCCACAGTCATTAAAATTGATGGTATTGATCTATATTTAATAACATTGAGAGTTACTCATACTATAGTGTTAGGCATAATAGAACAGGTTAAAACAGTTATGTAGACTAGGCATTATATATATAAAAAATCTGGGGAAAATGCTAGATAGCTATACACCAACATTTTAAGAGTGATTATTTGTAAGTGGTGAGATTTTTTTAATATTAAAAAACTGTTTCCCTAAGTGCTTAGCAGTGTTTTCTATTCTACAATGAAATAATTGTATTGCCTGTTAAAATTGGATAGTAAAAATAAAGTGAATGAAACAAAGGGGATGAGGAGTGAAAAGTATGGGAGTAATTTAGGAAGAAAATATGCCAAGCTGAGCAGGATCAGCGAATGATGCAGCTACATTTTTGGAGATGTTCCTAACCTGAGAAATAAGCAGGAGGATAGATGCAGGATGAGGGCAGAAGATGGGCGAATGATCTGATTCTGCTAAACTCCTCGGGTTGGGTATATCAGGGAACACTAGTTGTCCCTCTATATTTCTCCCCTCCAATTTTCCCTTGTAATATAAATTACATTTTTCTGGGTATGTGACCACCTAGAACACTAGTCACATTTTCTAGCTTCCCTGGCAGTTAAATTCTGGTCAATGGGGTTTAAGTAACTTTTAGGAAGTGTCTTTACTCAGAGAGACCAATTTCTTTTTTCCTTCCCTCCATTTTGCGTTGTGGAATGCAGACGCGATTGCTGGAGCTCTAGCAGCCATCCTGAATAATGAGGATGAGAGTCACACCTAGATAGGAAAGGAGGTAGTCTGGGTTGCAGAGCTGCTAAGTCAGTCTTCCACTACTTTGCGTCCAGACTTTTGTCTGAAAGCTAAAAAAACCCTGCATTTTGCTCAATGCACTGTTATTTTGGATTTGTAAACTGAAAAGAAAAGAAGAATGAAAAAATTAAGAAAAAAGAATTAAAGCCCCTTTGACTGCATAGTAATGATAATATCAACAGCTAATATTTATTGAGTGCTTCTTCCTATGTGCCAGACACTGTGCTAAGCATGCCATAATATACAGTAATACTTTGGTTTCCGAGTATAATTCGTTCCAGAAACAAACTACTCATATTGCAAGACATCGCTTGTTTACCATGTTAAAATGTTTTAGAAATGTTTGCTTGTCTTGTGGAACACTTGCAAACCAAGATACTCGCAATCCAAGGTTTTACTGTATTGACTTAATTCTCACAACAAACTGTGATTAGAAAACTGGGTATCAGAGAGCTTAAAAAGTTGCCCAAGTTCATGAAGCTAGAAAGTAGGGGAGTTAGGATTTGGACTCAGGTCTGCCTATCCCCAAGCCTAAGCTCTTAACCTGTCAACCAGTGTTTCTCAAAATGAAGTCTGTGGTTCAGCTGTATCAGAATCCCAGGAGACGTTAAAAATGCAGATTCCTGGACCCCATCTGTGATCTATTTGACCAGAATCTCTTGAATTGTGATTCAAGTAGCTGCATTTTTATCAAGTGCCCCCAGTATCCAAGTTTGATGCCCCCTGATCTGAGTTATATTTTATTCTAGCTAAAATGAAAGCAATAAAATTTTGATGCAGGTTTTGTAAATGGCTAAGATGCTTTTTTCTTTTCTTTTCTGGAAGACATCTGGTGCAAGTGGCTTACATACTTTGATGACTACTGAGCATGTATATAAAACTAAAATTGCACTAAATGCTAAAACCTCTTTGAAGATGCATTCACTTTGAAACCCTGAGATAGAGCGAAAGTTTTGTTGAATGTAAATGACCCTAGGGCACTGGTGGAGTATCCACTGGGAGTTGGAGAGAGCACACGCATCACGACATGTGTTGATAAACATACACGATCATCAGTATTCTGACACCAAGTGTCAACTGTGGTATTCTTCACCTAGGATGTTAACTCATAATTGTTTCTTTTTCTTGGTGGTTGATACTCTTTCCATTGATTTAAACTTACACATTGTTTTTAAAATGTTTTTCTTTTTAAAAATTATTTATTTTTGTCAGTTATAGTTGACATTAATATTATTTTTATATTAGTTTCAGGTGTACAGCATAGTGGTTAGACATTTATATAGTTTATGCAGTGATTCCATTGATTAGACTATTACCCACCTGGCACTATACATAGCTGTTGCAACATTATTGGCTATATTCTCCATGATGTACTTGGCATGCCGTGACTATTTTGTAACCTTACACATTTTACTCCCTGTGCCCAGCACTCATATTCCAAAGCCACTGGACCACTTGAGTACATGAGGGCCACTGTTTAATGAAATACCGTATTTGCCGGCGTATAAGACGACTGGGCGTATAAGACGACCCCCTAACATTTCCACTCAAAATACAGAGTTTGTTATATGGTCGGCTGTGTGCGATTTTGCGAGTGTGGTAAAATCGCATAACAGCAAAATCGCATAACAGCCGAGCATACACCCAGCAGCGCTGCTGATGCCTGAACGGTATGTGGAATGAAGTGGGCGGGCATCGGGAGGCCACTATGGCACAGGGCAAGCACTATGGGCAGTCTATCTGAAGTGTACCTGGCGTATAAGACGACCCCCCACTTGGAGGCATATTTTTCAGGGCCAAAAAGTCGTCTTATACGCCGGCAAATACGGTACATATATTTAGGTCTGTAAACCTCACAGAATGACTTCGAGTGCTTCCTGCAGGGGACTGATTACATGGACCGTGGTGATATCAAAAAGAAAAATGCTTTTATATTTATAGATTATTTCTTTGAACCATATAAAATAGGTATGATAAATGTATTTACTTCCCCCACCCCCCAAAAGAGTCCTCTTTTGTCCATCTCCCCTCAGTATAGGAAAAGTATTGTGAAAGTGAATTGTGAATTCTATGTTTAACATGAAGATTCCTTTCACCTTCTTTCTCTTCATTCCGGATAATCCCTCCCCGGCATTCTCAGTTCTACATTCACACCTAATAGGAAACATTGGCTTCCATGCTGTAAAGAGGGAGAAAGGGAAGAAGGGAGGGAGGATGAGAGAGAGGAAGAGAGAGAGAGAGAGAGAGAGAGAGAGAGAGAGAGAGAGAGAGAGAGGAATCTGAAGAGAGGAAGGAAATTAACATTCATCGTGGTTCTGACAAGCCATAGAAAATTTTCTTACTTTATTGCACAACTGTATTTTCCATGTGTTATCTTATTCCTATGATCTCAAAACCCTATGAGGTAGGTGGTATTACCCCATTTTATTGACAAAAAAACAGAAGCTCTGAGATGTTCAATGTCACCAAGCAAGGTCACACAGCTGGTGTATGACAGCCCTGAGATTGACTTAGGCTCACTTGACCCTCATTTTCTTTCATCCAGCTGAAGTCACCTAAGTATGTTTTTCCACCATAAAACCCATTTGGGGCTCCGTTTTGTAATCAAAATCTGAATAGCGTGTGAATGCAATTTGCTTGCTGCTGGCTGCATTAGCATGAATTATTGAAGGCCAGAGCCCTC